TTTACCAACTAAAATTTCATCAATCTGTCTGCAACACTTCGAAATATTCACCGGGGTAAAGGCGTCCTATGCGCACCAGAGAGACAGACAAACGGATATTTATAAATCGACTGCAAATTTTCTGAAACGGGCTTAGTCCAACGAAACCAAAAAGCCAAAAATCGATATTCCGAGGAGGCAAATATCTCCAAAACGTTACCCCATATTTTTAGTATTTTGAGGATTTCATTCAAATCTTTCTACTAAACATTAAAAATGTCGAACGAAGTGACTATATTTTTGCATTGAGATATAACTGCATTTTGACATTTCGGGACCATATCCTACACCTGATATAAAACCATTTTTTATACCCTTCACCATACATATGTTTGTAACAGGCAAAAGGAATCGAGATAGACCGTGGTTCCTTTTGAGAATATGCATAGAAACACTTTCTAAGTCGATTTACGCATGTCCGTCTGTCCGTCCATGTTAAATTGTAAACAAAGTACAGGTCGCATTTATTATTCGAATTGGATGAAATTAGACACAGCTCATTCATTTGGCCCAAGGACGAACCCTATTGAAATTGGGAAAAATCGGTTCAGATTTAGATATAGCTCCCATATATATTTTCGTCCGATTTAAGGTAAATGGTGCACCAAAGTCCCTAAATAACTTTCTATTTGCACGAAATTTGGCATAACGTACTGCATTGAGCCTAAATTGATGTCTGCCAAGTTTCGAGAAAATCGGTCCAGATTTAGATATAGCTCCCATATATAGTTTCGTCCGATTTAAGGTAAATGGTGCACTAAAGTCCCTATATATCTGTCGATTTGCACGAAATTTTGCACAGAGTACTGAATTAGGCCTAGAATGATGTCTGTCAAGATTCGTGAAAATCGGTCCAAATTTAGATATAGCTCCCATATATAGTTTCGTCCGATTTCATGTAAATGGTGACCAAAGTCCATATATATCTTTCGATTTGCACCAAATTTACCATAACATACTGAATTGAGCCTAAAGTGATGTCTGCCAAGTTTAGTGAAAATCGGTCCAGATTTAGACATAGCTCCCATATATAGTTTCGTCCGATTTCATACAAATGGTGCACCAAAGTCCCTATATATCTTTCGATTTGCACGAAATTCGGCGTATCGTACTGAATTGAGCGTAGAATGATGTCTGCCAAGTTTCGTAAAAATCGGTCCAGATTTATATATAGCTCCTATATAAAGTTTCGTCAATATATATCTTTCGCTTTGCACCAAATTTGGCATAACGTACTGAATTGAGTAATAGTCCTGTTTAATATACCCATAGTGGTGAAGGGTATCATATATTCGGCCCCGTCCGACTTTACTGCTTTCCTTACTGGTTTCTATGTTCAATTTTCCAACCATAGTGTTTGTAGTTTGATATATCGTTTGCATATGGCAGTAATTTACCATGACATAGCCCCCATAAAAGTTTGGATCAATTCTAAATAGTTAGAATGCCAACCTCATAGGGTAGTGTATAAAAGTTGTGCCCTGTCGAATTTAAGGGCATTTTTATTATTGATAAGTATTGGTAAATTCCTAAACGCATTTTTGCACTATAATTTATAATTTTTGACTCTTAGAGAATAAATGAATCCCTGGCAGAATAGAATAGCTTTACATTTAGTATACCACACATATTAAAATCCTTAAAAACCTAAACCCGAATAATAAAATTTTGAAATTAATTAAAGTCCAAGGGGCGAATATTTCAAATTTCAACCAATGTCAGTCGGGTGTAACGACATTTTAATATCCTCAGGTACAATTCTCAAAAGAACCGAGAGTCAGACCCTACCCATCGGAATTGATCAAAGAGGCTTCAAAGAGACAGGGTGTGATAAAAAAATACAACTTATTTTAAATTTTATTGAATAAAAACAAAAAATGTCGGAAATAGCATCAAATTTTAGAATAAGTTTAGATTTGTTCGAATTGGTCACCTTTAGCACGAATTATGGCCTTCAAACGGCCAATGAAACCGTCAGACACCATCACGAATGTTGCTCTGCGGTATTTTGGCCAATTCCCGGCGAAGCGCTTGCTTGAGGTGATCGACAATTTGGTATTTTTTTAGTGCCAACCTTGCTCTCTAAAATACTCCAGAAACAATAGTCCAACGGATTGGTTTCCGGAGATTTTGGTGGCCATTGTGCGATGGGAATGAATAGAGGAACCTCATTTTGTAACCATTCTTGGGTGGCGTGTGCTGAGTGCGATAGAGCTGAGTTCCGTTGGTATGTCCAAGGTCTGCAGCCAAAATGTTTGCGTGCCCAAGAGTAATTTCGCGATAATATTCTGCATTTATTTTGATGCCACGGTCGATTAATACGAGCGGATAGCGACCATCGACTGTTATGGCGGCCCACACCATCACCATGGCTGGCGCTTGAGTTCTGGCGGCCAACCGAAGGTGTAAATTTTCAGTTGACCTCTTTGGCGTGCTGCGTGCGATGGAGCTGAGTCCTGTTGGAATGTCCAAGGTCTGCGGCCAAAATGTTTGCGTGTCCAAGAGTAATTTCGCGATAATATTCTGAATTTATTCTGATGCCACGATCGATTAATACGAGCGGAGAGCGACCATCGGCTGTTATGGCGGCCAACACCATCACCATGGCCGGCGCTTGAGTTCTGGCGGCCAACCGAAGGTGTAACATTTTCAGTTGACCTCTTTGGCAAGTAAACACGATCATTTTGTTTGTTTAGGAACTGCTGGATAACGAATGTTTTCTCATCGGAGAAAACCAAATTCGGAAGTTCACCACTTTCGGCCAAGCGAAGCAAATCTTTAACTCTTTTGAGTATATTTTCTGTCTTGCACTTTTTGGAATTTCAATGACTTTACCCCGAGCTCCATTTTCGGCCACTGCGACGCCGGTTTCGATCAAGTCGCTTCTTTAATTTTCGAACCATTTTTACTGATGTTGCTGTTTTCTTCCGTTCACTTCCTTGACGTCGGGCTACGCTACCAACATCACGGCAACGAGCGGTGGTTCGAGACACAAAACATTTATTCACATATAAATGCTGGAGTGTTCTAATGATAGCCACTTGTGGTTATCCCGCCAAATATAAAGAAATCACACTATGACGCTTGAATTCCATCACGAATAACTTTTTTCCTGGAAAATTCTCAACAAAATGCTTTTGTACGCTTGTAAACAACATAATGAAATAATTATAACAGCTGTCGGACGAGTGGCTTAGAAATGGCAGCAGTCTAAAGTTGGTTGCAGTTTTTCATCTCACCCTGTATAACTTTAAAAAAATTAAAATTAATAATTAATTAAATTGTATCGAACTGAATTAATACTTGCCGTTGAGGTACATGATTGATTGAACTATATTGATTTTTACTACACAAAACCCTTTCAAAAGTATATCATTCAACAGTACACCAAAAACACTGGCATTTGTCTTTTAGATGACTGCGATTTGTCTGCCTATTTTTGAGATATTACCATTTTTGTAATTATATATTCCCATATCGGTATTTTCTCCATTAATGTAACATTATTTTTGGACAATTTGGCCTCTGTGGTTTGTCCAAGCAATAAAATTGCATGGTCGTCTGCCATTTAAGTGAATTTATTATTTCACGCGTATCGGACGCATACCGAATACAACAAATGGTAAAAAATCAATAACGTCACCTAAACATTTGTTGGTCATTTATTAAAGGCGAACACTAAAATACAATATTTACTTTTTTATTTATTTTTTTTTATACATGAAGTTTAACCATAAATAGTAAAATGTCAATGTGACAATAAATAATAGCCAAACTAATAATAACTAGCAAGTTGTCAGCGCAAAAATGTCATTATTGTTCTAGTTAAAATGATTTTTGGTAAGATATGAAATACTAGCGGCCATAATCTTTTGTTGGCTGTAATGTAAAATTTGTCTTAAACAATTACAATCACTTTAAGTGGAATGGATGATTGTAAGCGAACATGGAGTTTAATTATAAAACCTTAAATTATTTTCATATTAAAATTAAATTCTTTATTGGTGTAATATTTTGCAAAAATTCCTGTGTATCGGCAGTATTTCGAAATATTTCCCGACAATATTTTGTAATTTTTCTTGATATTAAATATTCTGATCATGGAAATTTCTACACACATAGCGTAAGAAATAACGAAGCAGATTTTTTATTTAATTTTTTTATGTTATGTAATTTTTTCCACAATTTGCCCTAAAATTGTCTCTATGTTGATATTATTTTTTTATAAATAAAGATATTTTATAGTTTCCTGCTACATGGAAAGGCGTCCATAAATTAACAACTAAAAAACAACTGGCAAAGAATTGAGGCAACATACGTAAGTACGTCCACATAGCTATCCCAGAATCACGGACATGTATGTCGGTCGGCATTATCTCAATGTTAGGCAACAGGTCGTCGTACATTTCTGCCGCCAAAGTGGCAAACAAATGCCAAACCTGTCTCTGTCGCATGATGCAAAGACGTTTTATCCCAATCAACGTACTTCTCTGGAGATACGTGCAACACGTTTTGTTGCTATTTTGTACACTAAACAAAAAAATCTGCATCATTCTATGCGTTTAGTAACTGTCGTAAATTTAACACTTTGGCTGTTGTTGTTTTTGCTATTATTGCATCATAGTTGTCCGTTTATGCCGATGTCATCGTCGTTCTTTTATTCATCCGCCTTGACGCGATGATAATGAGTGATGAAAACATGATTTGTTGTAGTTCGTAAATGTATATGCAGCCGATCTGCAGCCATAACGAAGCATCTTCTTTGAATGTTGGTCGGCGTGATGATGGCTTTCTAAATGGCATCGTGGTAGCATAATTAAGGACAGCTTCAGAGGATGTTTGCTATTTTTGTCTCTTGTCGCTTTTTGTGGGAGAGACTAGACAGTGGGACAATTGGATTTTTTAAATATATTTTTTCAGGGACTATCACAGTCATCCTAGGCGTGGATTTTTTAAATATATTTTTTCAACGACCATCACAGCCATAGGCGTGGATTTTTTAAATATATTTTTTCAACGACCATCACAGACATAGGCGTGGATTTTTTAAATATATTTTTTCAACGACCATCACAGACATAGGCGTGGATTTTTTAAATATATTTTTTCAACGACCATCACAGACATAGGCGT